TCTGCTTCCTGGGGTTGGTGCTGCATCCCAGGGGAGCGGCGCGCAGGCGGGAGGCAGGGCGTAAATCACGCCTGGCTGCCGAGGCAGGGATGAGCAGGCTGCAGCTCAGCCCGGGGCAGCCGGGCAGCTGGCCCAGCCACGGTGAGCACGTGGGGCCGCGGGGCCAGGACACCTGGGTTCCCTCCTTGCCTCTTCCCTCAGCGAGTGCAGAACTGCGGCGAAGCTTCCCCGGGGGGAGCACACGGGGGCAAGGAACGGGGGTCTACCTGCTGCATCAGGCCGGCAAAGCCCCGGCCAGTGCTCACCAGTGGGCTGTGCTTGCAGACGCAAGCAGGTGAGAAACAGGGCCAAAATCTGTATCTCCCTCTGACCCACTTGCAACCCCCCAGACCCCACTGCCTCCCCAGGGCTGGGGAAGAGTCCAGGCATCCGGGCTCCGCAAGCACTCGCACGCAGGCCCCCCTGCAGACGCCGGAGGTCCATGGGGACAGTCCCCAGGCCTGGATTGCTCTGCATCCTCAAGGACAGCGAGGGGGACTAGGCAGTGTCTGCCTGCCCAGCTCGCCCCTTTGAGGGCCCCTTGCATCGCTCCATCCTTGCACTGTCCTGGGACTTGGGGACATGCTGGGCTGGGCTGGGCCACCCCTCAATGCCCCCAGGATGCTTGGGGGGCCAGCGCATCCCCTATAGGGTCACGGAGGCAGAGGAGCACCGCCCCTGCCTTCTCCTCCCCTAAGTGCCGGGGCAGACAGCCTCCCTAGCAGGGCTGATGCAATCTAGGGACCAGCCCGCCTTTGCCTGGCGATGCCGGCTTGACCTCTTCCCCAGACGTGGGCACCGCGTGAGCGCATGGGGAAGCTGTGGGGCTGGTGCGTGGTGAAGGGGTTTCAGTTCCCTTCGAGGCAATCTGAGGTTTAAATCCCCCCATGCAGGCATGCCGCCTCTCCTGTCCTCCTCCTCCGTGTCATGCCTCCAGCCTCATGCTGCAATTCCCTGTGGGGAACCCGTCTGAGTGTCCCCGGGCTGGAGCATGGCACCACATGGGGAGGTGGGGATGCAGTGCTGCCATGGACCTGGGGGGCTCTGGGACATGGCACAGCCCTTGCTGCGGCTCAGAGACCCTGCTCTGGCTAGGGTGAGGGTCCCAGGGCAGGACAGAACAGAGAGGCTGCAGGCTCAGTGGTTGAAGTCCATGGACTCCAGCATGGGCAAAATCCCAGAAGCTGATGGAGATAAGTAGGTGCTATGGTTTCCACCTGTAGACACAGCCCGGACCTGAGTGCTGGCCCCCACTAAGGATCCAGTTAAATGGCAGGTGGGTGGATATCCCTCTGTGCAGAGCTGGAGAGACCACGGAGCCAGCGCAGTGATGCTGCACAAAGGAAGCGTAAGAGGGACCTGATCATGCCCCGGGATCATGTCTCTGTTGGCTGGACCCCACAGTTCACATCTCCCCTCATGGCCACACAGATATAGCCAGGAGAATACAGACTGGAGATTGCGGAGACCAGCGCGAGGTGCTGGAGGGCTCTGCCCTGTGGGGGGCTGAGAACCCACATCCTCTTCTCATATGTGGATGGGTCCGTGGAGGGCAGAGTGGGGCCAGCCCAGGCCAAAGCCTGGAGGAGAGCTCCAGGCATGAGGAGGAGGAGGGTCTGGGTGCTGGAGCACAGTGCAGTGGCTCTGCCAGAGTGTCCCCAGCACACCCGGAGGGCTGGGAAGGGGCCGGGCTCCCTCTGCGGACAGTAACCGCTCACTGCATCTGCCAGCA